AGACATATCTCTTTCTCTTCTGGTGATAGCTTACTTTTGCTCAAATCATCTTCTCATATTAAATGTGGATGAGTTCTCAAAATTAAATCCCAGAATTATTGTTATAATTGTCTAAATATTCATCATCTGAAATTTAAGAATGGGAATGTAAAGTTATGAAAGGTAACAGGGCATGGAGTAATGGTCAAATGAAAGAAAAAAATGTAATGAAATGCATTGACTTGCCTTTATTAAAATGATAACAAGTAAAGTCATATTGCAAAAAGAAATCCAACATTACTTGAAAAGAAATCTTAAAGTGACAAAAAAAACCTTCAACCCGCCTTATCTCCATTAAAAATTAGCCCCCTATATGATCAGGTGAAGAAATCCCCATTGACATCTTGCCCCTCAATTCATTGTGACTCTCCGGACCCTTTCTGTTCTTGACTTTCACTCCGGGCACTGACATTGGATGTTGTTGCTTTTTCTTGATCAAAACTTACCATTCCATCATTGATCAACCGTTGCACCTTAATACTTTAAAGCAGTGCAATTTTCAGTAGAATGGCCAGTAATTCCATAGTGATAGTCGCAGTGGGCTGTAGGATCATACCACTTTGGGTAGGGTGGTTTAAGAGGTTCCACATGGCTGGGGGCAATCAAGTGGCTATTATAAAGCTCTCGATATAACTTGTATAAGTCATAGGGATTGGATCAAATACAGGTTTTTCTTGAGCAGTCCGTTGTTCTCGCGAGCCACTGGTTAGGTTAGTAGGGCGGATTTGGGTTCTTACAGGAGCTTGAATGTTAAGGCGATAAGTGGATGAATAAGATGGTTGAGGAGCTAGCTGTATGGGTAGGATGAGGCATTGTTCACAGCAGGATAGTATGGAGAGTAGCCTTGGGATGGATAGGGTTGATAACCCCTGAATTGTTGTCTATCAAAGCTCACAGCTTGAGCTTCAGCTTCTTTCTTTTCTGATACCTTCTTGGTTTCTCCTCCTTTCAATTTGCCATTTTTTATGGCACTTTCAATAATTTCTCCAGAGATCACCATGTCAGCAAAATTCTTTGTTGCATTCCCTATCATCTTTTCATAATAGGGAGGTTTCAAAGTGCTGACAAACAGCACTGTGGTCTCTTTTTCTGTCAGAGGGGGTTGTACCTGTGAAGCTATATCTCTCCATCTCTGGGCGTACTCTTTAAAAGACTCGTTTGACTTTTTCTCCAGATTCTGCAAAGACAAACGATCAGGAGCCAAATCGATGATGTGTCGATATTGACTGATGAAGTCATGTGCCATATCACTCCAAGAGCGAATACGAGTCCTATCCAACTGAACATACCATCTGGCGGCAGAGCCAGTAAGACTGTCCTGAAAAACATGCATCAAGAGTTTTTCATCATGTGCATGAGCTGCCATCTTTCTGCAATACATGGTGATGTGGGTTTTGGGGCACTTTGTACCGTCATATTTTTCAAATTTCCGGTACTTTGAACTTATAGGGGATAACCACATCAGGGACTAGGCAGAGCCCAGCAGCATCTACTGACCCATAAAAGCTAAATCCTTCCACAGCCCGTAGCCTCTGCTCTAGCATGCTAATCTTGGAACTCTCCTCAGCTTCCACTTTCATCTTTTCTTTTTCCTTCTCCTTTAAGGCATCTAGGTCAGGAATTGGTTCTGCTGCCTTTTCAGTGAAGACAGGATTTATATAGCTGTTATACTGCCCTGGGTTGAAGGATGATGGCATTCCGGGATATGCAAAGTGTTGTGGCGGGACCTCTTGAGCAGACTGGGCTTGAGGTGGGCCAAAACCTGAGGGGTATAAAGGGTCAGCCATTTCTTGTAATGGGGGAATTTGCTGGCTTGTATTTCCTTCAACTCCTTTCCCCTTATTCATGCTATTTAGAGCCTCCAGAATCTTGCTTAGCTCACTTTCAATCTTCTCTTGTGCTTTTTCTAGCTTTTCAAATCTATGAGAACTTTTTCCTCCATTTGCCTTGCTCTGGATCTTGTGTTGTATGGATGAGCAGGGTTCTCACTAGATGGAGCTATCCTTGATCCTTGGTACCATTACTTATGATTAGAAATGTCATGCTATGGTTTATGTATGATACTTTGATGCATGAATGAAATGTACATTTTTCTAAATGAAATCTAATATGGTATGGATGCAAATGATTGTTGTTACAACATGATCATGAAAGTAATGCGGATGCATACAATCAGACAAACAACATAGTTAGTTTCATGAATGAAATGAAAGTGATGCTGATGCATAACATTACAAAAATAATACACAAAGTTAAGCAATCAAAATGATTAGATAAACACCTTTTTTGTTCCTAATTTCAGGGTATATCTATCATTGGGTAGAAAGGGCTCTATCCTAGGGTTAGGCACTCTTAAGGTTCACTACATGTGGTTTTAAAGTCAGAGTCTAAAGGTCCTCAAATTGTTCCTTACATCCTTGTCCATCACAGACTAGTAAGGCACCCTAATCCTCACCCATTACAGGCTACAAGCGGAAAAGGTTCAATTTGAGTGGAGTATTTCGCTAGCCACTGCGGAGGCATTAGACCTCACGAAAGCAATAGGTACTTTACTCCCTCCTAGAGGGACGGAGCTCGGGTGTAGAGCTCATGTTATGCACATGCACATGAATGACATAATTAACAAGGTAAATAAAACATGAATGAATAATACACATATATACAAAAATGGTTCAATTTTATTAGGCTTTTGGATAACACAAATTATTTGCTGGCCTGACTCTCAAATTCCCCAGTGGAGTCGCCAAGCTGTCATAACGTCTAGATCCGGGGATCTATCGCTAGACATTGACTTAAGGGAGTCGCCACCAATCTTTTTTATCTAGGTGCGATTGGCCACCTAAAGAATCTGCCCTTTTAGGGAACACCTAAGCTTGAGGGTCCCTAAAAGAATAGGTTCAGGTCTGCTAACCAGAACAAAGTTCGGGAGTTCGGTTACGTGTGAGGAAGGTTGTAGCACCCTCACAACGCCCATCAAAAGATGGTACCAGCTTAAATTTGTGTTATCCAAAAGCCTTAAAATTTTACCAAGTAATTAGTTGTTGGAAATGATTCTCAATTGACTCTAATACTTTTAGCAGAAAATTGAGAAAATTCCCTCACCTCAGGAGTATGCAAGAAAAACTACTGTTTCACTTGCAGGGGCTCCGTCGTCGGATTTATTAAAGAAAAAAACAAAATCATCCAATTAATTATTGGAAATTATTCTCAATTAACTCTAATACTTTTAGCAGAAAATTGAGAAAATTCCCTCACCTCAAGAGTATGCAAGAAAAACTACTGTTTCACTTGCAGAGGCTCCGTCGTCGGATTAATTAAAGAAAAAAAAAATCAAAATCAGCAAAGTAATTAATTATCGGAAATTATTCTCAATTGACTCTAATACTTTTAGCAGAAAATTGAGAAAATTCCCTCACCTCAGGAGTATGCAGAAAAACTACTGTTTACTTGTAGAGCTCTCGTCGCGATTGATTAAAGAAAAAGAAAAAAAAAATCAAGTCAAAATCAAAGTCAAATAAAAAAAATTCAAAAAAAAAAAAAAAAATCAAAAAAAAAAAAAAAAAAAAAAAAAACCTGGAGCGCTCGGCTATCGGCTCGGCTCGGCTCAAGGAAGAAAAAACGGCTCGGAGGAGCGGCTGGGAAGACCGGCTCGGCTCGGCTCGGCTCGGAGGGGGCTGGGCACGCGCGGGTCAGAATCGGGTCGACGCTCGGGTCGGGTCGGGTTCGGCAAAAACGCGCGGATCCTCTTATTAACTTTAAAGCCAAAAACGACGTCGTTTTGGGAGGGTATAAAAGGCACTAACCTCTGTTTTTTGGCAGATCGCTCTCCCCCTCTCTCTCTTCTTCTTTTTCCTCTCCCTTCTCTCTTAAAAAACCGAAGAACTCCGGTGGAAGATTCACCGGATTCTGGAAATTTTCGCCGGAATCTGGGTTTTTTCGCCGGAAGTTGGCCGGAAATTTGACGGTTTCTGGGATTCTTCGCCGGTTTCTGGGATTCTTCGCCGGAAACTGGGCAGGTCGCCGGAAACTTCAATGTTGGCCGGAATTTTGGCCGGAAACTTCAAGATTGGCCGGAAAATTCAACCGGAAACTGGAATTTTCCAGAAATTCCCAGAAAAAAAATTTCGAAAAATCCCCAAAAAATTTCTGATAATTTCTGGAACTCTCCTAAACCTTTTCCTAGCCTTCTATACTCTTTCCTACGCCTTTGCTTCTCAAATCAGTAGCTCTAGCTTACTGTTTTCTGTCCGTTTGAACTGTTCCAGGAGGTGCTTTATATAGGGATTGATCAGGAGTTTCTGATCAATCCCAACTCCTCCTTGGACGGGGATTCAGTCTTTGAATCCAATTGGACTCTTTAGATTGAATCCCCACTCCCAGTAGGATTCTTCAGCTTCAATCTCAACCTTCCAAAAAAAATCAAATAAATATAAAAAAATAATAGATAATTAGAACAGATAAATAAAAAGATATTATAGTAAAAAAAAATATCTGATAATCAGGAAAAAATCAGAACAGATAATTTAAAAAAAATAATAATAAAATAAGATAAACCCAAGTATATATTACAAAAAAAAAAAATAATAATAATAATAAATATATAACTATATACATATAAATCTAATCTAATAAAAAAATAAATAAATATATACATAATAATAATAATAATAAAATACATAAAATACAAAAGAAGAAAAAGAAGAAAGAAGAAAAAAAAAAATACAGGATTGAATTGGGCCTTACCCGTTTGGGCCAAGCCCAATTGATCTGGACCCGGACCCAATTGGGTGTCTACACATATCATAGATAAAACTAATTGAATTTTAACGAGTGCTATAAAGGCATTTTTAAAGATTATTATATTAAGTAATATATTATCTCAATGCATTAATATTCAGAAAATTAACTATTGATTAATGTATTTAATATATGAATATTTATATAAATAATAATTTAACCAACCTTAAGAGTACCCTAATTAAAGCATTTATTAGCAAAATCTAGACTAATTTTCTTTTATAACTAAAACTAATCCTTTTCAAAACACAAATTTAGTTTCTTCCTATTTCACGGAAACCATGAAAATCCATGCACTAGAAGAGAGAAGACCGATCAATCACTCTGGAGCGACAACAACAACCTGTTTTCCCACGTTGCGACCACTAAACAATCCTATCAAAGCAGTAGGGCCGCTCTCTAGGCCTTCAGCAATGTCCTCCACATACTTTATCTCCCCTTCTTTGATGGAAGGTAATACAAAGTCCAAGAACTTTGAATATTGTGGATAGTAATCAAAGACAGCAAATCCTTCGATTCGAACTCTCTTATAAACGATTAACATTAGGTTGTGTACCCCTTCAGGTTGATCAAGATTGTACTGCGAGATCATCCCGCAGACTGCAATGCGACCATGGATTCTCATGTTGAAAATTACAGCATCTAGCATTTTGCCTCCAACATTTTCGTAATAGATATCAATGCCCTCAGGAAAGTACCTAGAAAGTAGATATCAAAGACATACATTAATACATAAGGATGAATAAATTTTTGTTTCTTTTAAAAAAAATACACAATCCAAAGATAAAAAAAGACATTACAAATGCTTGACTTTAAATCTTAAATCTTAATATCACTTTTTAAGAATGATTATATAAACCAACTAAGCTGGTCTCTGGATTAATCCAATTAGACAGTAAAATTATAGATCCTATTTAACATTGAAACTATATACACTGACCTTTCCAAAGCTGTATTCATATCAGGCTCTTCCTTATAATTGAAAGCATCATCAAACCCAAACTTGTTCTTCAACAATTCAACCTTGGTTCAAAACAATGGAAAGTTAAAAAAGATGTGTTTAGAGCATCCATGCAATAATATATTAACTATATATCCCGCCATAATCTCTTAAATTAATGCCATATTCTATATTCAACTAATTTTGTAATCCACGATTTAAATTGCAGTCATAATTACATTGTAGGCTGTGTTGTGGTTATTTCTACTCTGGGATCAACGCAATTATAAATTTTATTAATTTTACACAACTTAATATAAACTGAAATAATTATAAACATAAAAATTTTTCTTTTATTTTTTTAAAATTAATTTATGACATCTCATGACTTTTATTTTCTTAAAAAATTATTCATAATATTTTTTTGAAATTATAAGAAATTATTCATATTTGGTTTGATAGTAGATCCTTACTTTGAGCTAAATTCATAGTTAATTTTTTTTTTTTACATACTAAATATTAACAAAGTAAAACACATTAAATATTAAGTATTCATATTTAATAATATTACGAACTTAACAATGTAATTTTAATTGATTGTAAAATGCCCAATGTATTAAGTAACTTAATTTTTTCACACATTAATTGATTTAACATTTTTATCACAAATGACTATATATTCTATAATTAACAAGATTGTTGTTTAATTATAAAAAAATACTAATAAAAACAAATCTAATACCAAAAAAATAATAACATTACAATATAAAAAAATTACAACAATTCCAATACAATATCATTAATTAATAAATTTCATTTTAAATAAAAATCCCCAAATAAAAGAAATTTCTTCAATATAAAAAATCTCTTAATTTCCCACCGTGCCCCGCATCTTCAATGTTCACCCTCACTCAATTTCTCTAAAACCTCCCTCAATCCTCTCCCTACTAACATAAGTTTTTTTCTTTTTTTTTACATCAGCAACAATATGGCTAGTCTTGCATTCGTCCCTATTTCTCAAATTCCCTATTCTCACCCAATCCCAATCACCCTCATTGCATCTTCAATCTTTAGTCTTCACTTTTTCTAAAATTTATAATCTTACTCGCAAATAATGATGACAGTTTTAACCTATAACCTTTGAATTTTGATTCAACCTGACCCTATAAGATTGGTTTTTTTTATTTAAATTCGAGGTCAAGTTGGGTTGAATCGATTTTATTTTCTAAAAGGCATGACTTTGCGTCAAAGGCTAGTTTAAGGAAAATCCAACCCGACCTAATATATTTACCACATCGCATCCTTAGTCTTCACTCTTTCCAAAATATATGATCTCATTCTCAAGTAAGAACAACAATTTAACCCATAATCGTTTGGTTGTGTGATCCAACCCTATGTCAATTTATTTTTTTGAAAATTTGAGATCGAGTTAGACCAGGTCGATTTTATTCTTTAAAAGGAGCAGAGTCGAGTCAAATACGAGTTTAAAGAAAAATTGACCAAACTTAATATATTTACCAAAATACCTTTCATATATATATATATATAATAATATTCAAGATTAAAGACTTTTAATCTTTTCTGTATTCTTTTTTCTTCCCCATGTACGTCTCTTTCCTATATATAAAATATTACTCAAGGTTAAGAGTTTTTTCATTATTCTCTTTCTTCTCCACTTTAGCTTCTCACCTTCTCTCTGTCTTGAAAATCAAATCCCTTTTCTTTTTCTTTATAAGTTACAAACTTATCAAATTTTGAATGCCATTCTTAGACAACACAATGAAATTGCATGGCGCACTCATGGTGGTGATTTGTTGTTTTTTTGTAGGCATGGGTAATGTGAAGAGATTTAAGGTTTTCAACAATCTTAAGCTGGTTATCATGATGCATGTTTCACGGCCCACACGATTACACTTGAGGCTTAAGCACTATAAAATGATTCAATCAACAAGGTTCGAGCCCAGGGCGTGCAACAAACACATAGGTTGCCTATAGCAATTGGCCAGACAAGGTAATTGTTTCTAGAAGGGCTCTAGACGAACCAGGCCTAGTACGGGCAAACCAAACTTAGGTGCTAGTGCATCAAGGTGCTAGAGGGACTAGAGACTTTTAAAGCTAGGATAGTTCCCCCCATAATTTGAACTCTTGATGTATATCTCATGTAATCTTTTTGTAATCTTAAACTCTATAATAGCCATTAGATTGAGTCAATACTGGCCATTGATTCATTGGAGCTTCAATAATTAATAGAGGACCTCCCCACCTTCATTGGATGTATAGAAACACTTGAGTTAATACAAGTTATAGCATTTCAAAACATCTCTTGCTTTTTTAGCCTTTCTAGCTTTAGGTTGCCTTTTACTATTATTTTGAATGCTCACTCTTAAAAAGTATTTTTAAGCTTACTTAAGCATACAAAGGGGAAGTTCAGGCAAGGCCGTAATAGAGCATTGGCATAAGTCTCAGTCACATGATAGTTGATATCAGAGCAAGTTCTGCTTCAAGTTTGTGTTTAGGTCGCACTCAAGGTGTTCAAAATAATCACATCTTAAAGTAATGTTGGTAGCCGACAACCAAAGGTCCAATAGCTAGCCCTTGGAAAGAGAAATAAGGTCCAATGTCTACCTTGAATGGTTGTTTAGCCAAAGTGGAGGTGATAATGTTAGACCTTAAGGAAAGGTTTGAAGACACTAAAAAGGAGATCAAGGAAGCATTTCATGGTGCCCTCAATGACACCATCGATATGTTTACCTAAAAGAATGAACCTTTAGAGGCCGTTATGGAGGCTATGTGTAAGGAGATGGAAGAGCTTAAAAGGGAGCTCATGACATGCAAGGCAACCATTGGGAATGGTGTGCTAGTTATAGCAACCAAAGCTTAAGAAGAGATTCCTAAGCCTAAAGAGTACAAGGAAGCCAAGTCTACAAAAGATGTAGACAACTTTATGAAGGGAATGAAGTAATACTTTCAAGCCATGGGCTTTGATGAGGATGCCATTAAGGTATCAATGTATTTGTTTGACATTGCACTGTTATGGTGAAGACACAAGTGTGATGATGCAAGCCGTAGAGGTGCTATTGTCTGAACTTAAGAAGAGTTTAAAACAAAGTTTAAAAACCAGTTCTACCTTAAATATGCTAATGATGAGGCAAGGATGAATATGCATAAGTTCATTAAAAAAAGTAAGGTATGGGAGTATGTTTGAAAGTTCTTAGAGTTAATGCTTTAGATTTCAAACCTTAAAGATGAGGAATGTCTCTTTTGTTTCAAGGATGGTCTTAAACCATGGACTAAGAATGAGTTACAGTAAAGGGGTGTCAAGAATCTGGCTAAAGCCATGACAGTTGTTGAATTTTTGGTGGAGATCTAGCCACAAAAAAGTCTGAGTCATTCAAGCCAAAAGATAATGGCAAAGACTAATAGTCAAATAAGGGAGACTAAGATTGACAGTCCAAGGATTAAGATCGAGGTCGATAGACCAAGAATGATCAAGGTAAGCCACCACTTAAGAAATAAAGGCCAAACAAGTGGAACAATAAAAATCAAGAGCCAATTGCATGTTACTTTTATGAAAGTCCACACTTGTCGAAAACTACCCCAAGAAGACTAAGCTATTTGCCATCAATAAAGAAGAATGTGATGGGTCAGAATAGGAGACCATGAAGCTTGGCTCAATTGTGTTGAATTTAGTTTAAGAAAAGGGTGCCAAAAGCAAAAAAGAGTAATGTTTGTTGACATGATGGTTACAGGCAAGAAAATGAATGCTTTTGTGGACATAAGAGCATTTCACTTATTCATATCTTGAGATGTAGCCTAGAAACTAAACCTAAAGTTTAGAAAAAGGGCTAGCATGATCAAAACTATCAATTTCAAGGAGGTTCTAATAATTAGTGTAGCACATGGTGTAGAGTTACATCTTGGTGAGTGGAAAGGCAAAAAATTTGTCGAGGTAATTCCTTTAGATGATTATGAACTTGTTGATGGTTTAAAATTCCTTGACCTTATTAGTACACTTGTGGTGTCTTTTGCCAATTGTATTTTCATACTAAATCACTTATATCTATACATTATGTCAGTGAGAAGTGAATCGAGGTCAATAACCAAGATGTTATTTGTCATTCAATTAGTCAAAGGAGTAAGTATGAATGAAGACACTTTTTTTTTAACCTTAAAAAGGGAAAAGTCTAAGTAGAATAGTGTTAACACCCTTTTGGAAATGTTAAAGGTGTTGGTGTCATTCAAAAACATGATGCCCACAGAATTGCCCAAGAGGCTGCCCTAAAAAAAAAAAATGGATCATATAATTGAGTTGGTGCCAAATGTTATCCCACAAACCAAAACCCTATATCGAACGTTACCCATAGAATTGAAGGAGTTACAAAGATAGCTCAAAGAGCTTATTGATGTTGGCTACATCAAACCATCAAAAGTTTTATTTGGTGCCCCAATGTTGCTCCAACAGAAGCATGATGAGTCCTTACAACTATGCATAGATTATAGGGCATTGAATAAGCTGACAGTGAAGAATAAATACCCATTCCCACTCATTACAAATTTGTTTGACCAACTTGAAGATGCTTGGTAGTTCACCAAGTTAAACTTATGGTCACTGTACTACCCAGTTAAAATTGTGAGAGGGATAAGCCCAAGATAGCTTGCATTATTTGCTATGGATCTTATGAGTTCTTTATAATGCCTTTTGACTTGACCAATGCATCAGTAACATTTTGCACCTTAATGAACAAGGTGTTACAACTATTTTTAGATCATTTTGTTATGATTTGTCTTGACAATATTATGATTTACAGCCATTCATTAGAGGAGCATATTGAGCACCTTAGGCAAGTATTTCAGGTTTTATGGGAAAATGAGCTATTCATGAAGAAGGAGAAATGTTCATTTGCTTAAAAAGAGGTGCCATTTTTAGGCCACATTATTGAAAATGGCAAGATTTGGATAGATAGAAACAAAGTTCAGACCATATTGGATTGAAAGTTGCTAATTAAGGTCATAGAGTTGAGATCATTCATTGGGTTGGTGAACAACTACAAGCACTTCATCAAATACCATTCTACCATCACCACACTATTAATAAACATGCTCAAGAAGAGAAGAGTGTGGGATTGGAGTCAAGAGTGCTAGTAAGCCTTTAATTGACTAGAGCGTGTAGTGATTAATGAGCTTGTACTAGTTTTGTTGGATCATATTAAGCCATATAAGGTGCATAGAGAAGCATCAAACTTTGCCATTGAAAGGATGCTGATGTAGGAGAACTATGTGGTTACCTTTGAGAGTAAAAAGCTTAATAAGATCGAGCATAGATATACAATCCAAGAAAAAAAATGACAGGGGTGGTGCACTATTTGTCCACATGAAGACATTACCTGCTGGGATCTAGATTTGTGGTCAGAACTGATAATATTGCAACAAGTTACTTTTAGACTTAAAAGATGTTGTTCCCTAAATAGGCTAGATGGCAGGATTTCTTTATAGAGTTTGGTTTAGCATGGAGTACAAGCCTAAGAGGGTTAACTTAATGGTTGATGCATTTAGTAGAAAGCTTATGCTTTTTACCATAAGCCAACTTGAAGGTTCTTAAGTGCTGCGTATTAGGAAAGGATTGGTCTATGATCCTATACCTAAGATATTCATAAAGTATATGTAACAAGGTAAAACCAAAGATTTTTGGTTGCAAGATGACTTACTTTACACTAAAGGGAACAGGTTTGTATTGATGTATAGAAACTCCATAAGAAAGTTATGCATGAATGCCATGACTCAAGCTGGGCTGGTCACCCTAGAGTGTATCACACCTTAGCACTGGTGTAGGATTGATATTACTAGCCTTACATGTAGGATGACATCAAGGCTTATGTCAAATCTTATCTTGTCTGTCGATAGGATAAGGTGGAGTAAAAGTTACTAGCTAGTCTATTGTAGCCATTACCTATACTAAAATGCCCATGGAAGAGCGTTTCGTTGAATTTTATAATTGGACTACCCAAGTTAGATGAGTTTAGGAGTATTATGGTAGTGGTGGACAAATTTTCCAAGTGTGGGACATTCATTCCAATAACCAAGGAGTGTCCAACTGAAGAGGTAGCCCGTTTATTCCTGAAAAATATGGTGAAGTATTAGGGCATACCATAGACCATCATTAGTAATCAGGACGGGTGCTTTATAGTATGATTTGGACAAAGTTGTTCAAGCTATTGGGGTCAGACTTAAATTTTTCCACCAGCATGCATCCACAAACTAATAAGCAAACTAAGAGAGTTAATGGGTTATTAAGATCTACCTCAAATGCTAAATTAGTGCAGTATAACAAGATTGGTCCAAGTTGCTAGATGTTGCCTAATTTTTTTACAACTTGTAACAGAGTGAGGCAACAAACTAGAGTCCATTTGAGTTAGTGATAGGCCAATAGCCACAATCCAAAAGCTGTTACAGTGGGCGCCACTGATCCTAATCTAGCAACATATAAGTTTGGCAAACTTGGTAAGATTAAGTAGAATCTATCTACTCAAAGCAGCTAATAAGTGCAATAAATAGGTAGGTCACAAACGGAAAAGATGTGCAATACCAGGTTGGGGACTTGTTGATGGTAAAGCTACACTTAATCTTGTGCCACAAGGTGTGCATAAGGGCCTTGTCCGAAGATATAAGGGACCTTTTAAAATCTGAAGAGAGTAGGTAAAGTAGATTATAAGCTAAAAATTCCATTGAAGCTTAAAGTACACCCAATTTTCCATTGTTAGCATTTTAAAGCCATTTCATAAAGATTAAGAGGGTCCAACCACAGGTAGAGTTAAAGCGTGCATCCATAAGGATAAATGCTTCATATGATAAAGAGGTCCAGTGCAGCTTATCTAACAGGGTTTTGAGGCGAT